GGAGAAAATATCCGAGGGGTTGAGAATAAAATGAAACACGCGTAGCTGATGGGTAATGAGAGAGCTTCAAAAGGGGGATATGTGCACAAATTGGGAATTATGGTACAGTCAGACGCAATTAGGGGGTATCGACGTAAATCATCTCGCGATAGAATTTCTATGGAGGGATTTATCGAGTTGTAGAGTAGATTTTGGGGTTGGGAGCTTAAAGACGATGAATCTAGTCTATTTTGTAGGAATTATAGGACTCATTTTGTATTTTACTGCTTTGAAAGGAGTGAAAACGTTTGAGAGAAATTTTATTGAAAATTCCAGTCGTCTTGAAATTTTTTTTTTCAATGTTTTAAAAGAGGGGATTAATTTTTTTTTGTGACAGATTTTTTCTGTAGAAACTGGTAATCGTAAATTATTGTAGTTTTTTTTTTTTTTAATTTTTGGTTTTAATTGAATTTAAAAGGGAAAATTGATAAATTAATCAATTTTATGTGCGAATAATTTTTGAAATAGGAAATGACATTTTATTTTTACCCTTACGAGGGTCATTCGGGGACAGAAGGGAAGGGGGGACGATAGATAAATAATGAGTAAATAATCGTAAACTCTTAGTTTTTTTTTTTCGAAATTTTGTTTTGTTTTTCATTAAATTCAAAAGAAAAAATTGATGAATGACTCCATTTTATGTGCGAATAATTTTATTTTTTCAATAGAAAACGATGAAATTTTATTTTACGATTTGAATTCTGTATTTTGTTGTTTTAATTCAAATGAAAAAGTTCAGAAATTTTCCTAAAAATTTCACTCGTCTTTTGAAAGATTTTTTCGAATGACTTTTCATTTTTTGTGTCGCATTTTTTTAACAGAAATTTTTAACACTCAATTTTCCTATTTTTTCACCTCTAGTCTTCCGTTTTCAAATAAATCCCAAAAAACCGGATGTATTTTCATTTTCTATACGTCATATTTTTTAAACAGTAAATTAAATTTTACTTTGACCCTTACGAGGGTCACTCGGGCGCAGAGGGAAAGCGGGACGCCCCAATAATATATGAATAATGAGAATAATAGTTGAATTGACGCAGAAAAATTGTCTGAAAAAATGAATAAAAAATAAAATAGCTGTGGAAAAAATTATGCAGCGCTGTGATGCACCGGGTAAAGCCCCAGAAGAGCATGACAGTTCGTTGATCACTGCACCTGGACTGTGTTATGCGTGGCTGGTGCCTGGTGGTACCCCTTGAGTTCAACTTTTCTCGTTTCTATTGCAAGTGTCTCGAAGTATGCGCCACCCCTCCAGGTGTTTGATATTTCCTTGGGTGGAAAATTCAACGAAGTTACAAGGCTTCGACTGCGGTAGGCGATGGGGGGAGGGGGGGGGGTTAAGGGGGATTTTATTTCAAAAAACAAATTGAATAGGGGAGATGAAGCTCTTGCAGTTTTCAATATTTCTCGCGTTATTTGACATTCACGGGAGAATTTTTGATGGGTTGAATCGACAGAATACTTTTGTGATGATTACGAAGGTTGAAATAGTGTCATTTGGGCGTAGAAAAAATTCTGACGTGAATAATTGGATTATTCAATGAATTATTTAGTTATTTATTTGATTATTTATTTATTTATTTATTTATTTAGCCATTTATTCCGAGAAATAATGAATTTCAGAGTAATTAAAACTCCTCTGTAATTAATTTTCAATTATTTAATGAATCAACATGGAAATTGGGGGAGGATGAAGGGGATTGAGGTAATATTTCAATCTTGTAATCACACGATGCGATTTCAATAAATCAGGGCTTATTTCAAGGCCCAAAAAAATTCCCAGAAAATGAGGTCAAATTTCGTTAAATCAACTCAGTCAATCCCAAGTGATTAACAACTAAATCCTTTCCTCACTATTCAACTAATCGAAATTGTGAGAAAACTCGAAAAAATTTACTCCCTTAAAACTTGATTATCTCCGAAGCAAACGATGCGATTTCACAAAATCTGCGCTCATTCCATCCCCAAAAAGCCCCCTCTCAAGACCCTCCCGACCCCCCAAAATTCACTCAGCCAATTCCAAGTTATTGACAATTGAATCCCCAACTATTCAATCAGTCAAAATCCCTAGAAAACTCAAAATATTTACTCACTTAAAACTCGAATATCTCCCACCCGAACGATGCGATTTCAAAAAATCAGCGCTCATTCCATCGCCAAAAAAACCGTTTCCAAAACCCCCTAACCCCTTCAAAATTCACTCAGCCAATCCCAAGTAATCACCAATTAAATCCTCACCATCCACTCAAAAAAACCCAAAATCCCACGAAAGCTCAAAAAATTGTCTCCCTCAAACCTCCACCCCCTCCCAACCCAACGATGCGACTTAAAAAAACCCTTGCTCATTCCACCTCCAAAAACCCCTCTCTCAAACCCCCCCAACCCCCCAAAATTCACTCAGCCAATCCCAAGTAATCACCAATTAAATCCTCACCATCCACTCAAAAAAACCCAAAATTCCACGACAGCTCAAAAAATTGTCTCCCTCAAACCTCCACCCCCTCCCAACCCAACGATGCGACTTCAAAAAACCCTCGCTCATTCCACCCCCAAAAACCCCCCTCTCAAACCCCCCCAACCCCCCAAAATTCACTCAGCCAATCCCAAGTAATCACCAATTAAATCCTCACCATCCACTCAAAAAAACCCAAAATTCCACGACAGCTCAAAAAATTGTCTCCCTCAAACCTCCACCCCCTCCCAACCCAACGATGCGACTTCAAAAAACCCTCGCTCATTCCACCCCCAAAAACCCCCCTCTCAAACCCCCCCAACCCCCCAAAATTCACTCAGCCAATCCCAAGTAATCACCAATTAAATCCTCACCATCCACTCAAAAAAACCCAAAATTCCACGACAGCTCAAAAAATTGTCGCCCTCAAACCTCCACCCCCTCCCAACCCAACGATGCGACTTCAAAAAACCCTCGCTCATTCCACCCCCAAAAACCCCCCTCTCAAACCCCCCCAACCCCCCAAAATTCACTCAGCCAATCCCAAGTAATCACCAATTAAATCCTCACCATCCACTCAAAAAAACCCAAAATCCCACGAAAGCTCAAAAAATTGTCTCCCTCAAACCTCCACTCCCTCTCAACCCAACGATGCGACTTAAAAAAACCCTCGCTCATTCCACCCCCAAAAACCCCCCTCTCAAACCCCCCCAACCCCCCAAAATTCACTCAGCCAATCCCAAGTAATCACCAATTAAATCCTCACCATCCACTCAAAAAAACCCAAAATTCCACGACACCTCAAAAATTGTCTCCCTCAAACCTCCACCCCCTCCCAACCCAACGATGCGACTTAAAAAAACCCTCGCTCATTCCACCCCCAAAAACCCCTCTCTCAAACCCCCCCAACCCCCCAAAATTCACTCAGCCAATC